GCGCCAAAGGCACGCAGGCGCAGGGGCTGTGCTCTTCCAGGAGAGGGCGCTCCTGCCCGGGGCGACGCGTCCCCGCAGGCGGCCTCGGGCACAGGGCTAGCCGCAGGTGGCCAGCACTCACTGCCGCAGTCAGACAGAAGCATACTGAGTTCGAAACCGCCCAGCCCCCTCCAGCTGCGGGCCTCGGGTAGGGTTCCAACTCTGTGTGCCGCCTGCATCACCCAATGGGGACTACGAGACCTCCTCCTTCGTGGGATTGCAAGAGGTGGCATGAGGTCATTACTCATAGGAAATACTTAGGACAGGGCCTAGCACCGGCAGAAAACGGGGCCGACCTGCTTCCTCCCCCTCCACTGTCTGTCTTTGACCCTCTGGGAATGACTCTGGAATTAAATGTGCTGGCCTGCCCTGTCCAGGCATGGAAGCCCCAGCTACGCGACTGCTGCCCTTCCCCAGAAGTTGGTGGTTGCAGGGGGCAGGAAGGAGCTGCGAGTGGCTGGTGCCCAGCAAGGGGAGAGGGACAGAGCAAGTCTCCAGGCAAGAAGTGAGGACCCAGCGGGGTCACTGTGTCCTCTGGATAAGAGCAGTGGCCTCCCTGTGTCCAGGGTGAGAGGAGCTGTGAGCAGGATTCTGGCAGAACTGCAAGGCAACCCAACGGGCTGGGACAGGGCCCGAGTCCCTGCTGGGACTTTAGAATTCCAGGGCATTCTGAGGACAAGGAGCCCCGGGACTTGAGCTGAAGGGCCAGCCCAGTCCCAGGACCCAGCGAGGCACATGGACTTTCCATGAGGTCTTCCCAGCCTCCTCAGGCCTGCTGCAGGGTCCGGGTTGGGTTTCTCCACCCCCCATCTTTTCTTTTTCTGTTTTTGTTTTTCTTTCCTTCTTTTTAAAAAGTTTCATTTCAATCATAGCCTCAGCTCAGACATTCAAATTCTTGTGGGTTTTTCTGTAGATGTTTCCTAAGACTGGGGAATCTGGCGGGAGAAACCACGGGCTCCCCACCCTCCCCATATCCCCGAGGAGTAGGAGAAATGGCCCCTGTAGATTCTGGAAGAGAATTCCCCTCGTCCGCCTGGCCGGGAGACTAGCGCCCGCAGCAGGCCCGGGGCATGGCGCAGACGGGAGCTCTGTCCTCCTGCATTGGGACCTGGCCGCTCAGCGCTCCAGGCCACGGCTGCAGTCTCCTGCCACACACCACCCCTGGGCATCCTCACCCGGAGAGCTGGAAGCTGGGATGGAAAACGAGGCTGCTGGGGCTCTCAGGGAGGGAGAGCAGGGTACATGGTGCAAACTTCTAGAAAAGTGGGCTCTAGTTCAGTGCAAGGACGCGATTCTCCCAGAGCAGTCTGAACGCTCAAAGACCACCCAGCAAAGGAGGGGGCGAGCCAAGGAGGCGAATAGGGAGGGTGCAGGGGTGAGGCCCCACAGCAAGGGAGGTGTGCACGGCCCCCTGTTGGGCAGTGCTGCCCAGAGAGCCCAGGTTCTGTGAGGGAGGCCTGGCTCTGATGAATCAGAGGCCAAAAGTGGGGCTCAGGGAGCTCCAGCTGGGGTTCAGGGATGGGATCTATCGAGGGGACCTGCGTGCGGAGAGATTGCGGGCCCTGGGCAGACCTAGGCACTGCGCCTGCGCAGCGAGAGCCAGCTCTTGATGGGGGAAAACCTGGCCCAGGAGGGCCCCAGACCTGTGTGGGTGCCAGTTTGCTTGCTGTGGAGGCCCAGGTGTGAAGCAGCCTGCATGCTGGCTATTTCCGTGTGGCTTCACACCTGGGCTCTCCAGTACCTGTGAAGGCATCGCAAGGGGAAGGCCCTGAGAGCAGCTCAGCCCCTTGGCCAAGCTGCTTTGCAGGCCCTAGTGTGGGGAATCTTAGCCAGCTCCCCACTCCCACCCCCACAGATACGGCCAAGTGGAGGAAGCTGAAGGCCAAGGGCTTCAAGAAGAGCACCAGCGTGCACTCCAGCAAGCAGACTGGCTCCTCTTGCCAATGCAGCGGGTGTGCACTACTTGGAGGGAAGAATTCAGTTAGGGCAGAAGTTTGTAGCGCCCAAGGAAGAAGCAAGTACCAGTGAATGACATGAGGGGAGGGAGCGAAGTGACACAAGACTCCCTCAGGTGAAATACCAGGCCGCCACCTCCTCCTCCCTCCCCTGCTCATCTGGGCCAGCCTGCTTGCTGACTTCTCTGTGGGCCACCCAGCCCAGGTGGGGAGTGCGCAGGTCTGTGTCAGCAGGAGCCTGTCAAAAACAAGCCACTTCACACAGATGCGAGGAGGGTGGAAAACATGGGCTTGGGAACCCTTGCAAATGAGGTGAGGATGCAGCTGAAGGCTTCAGGGACCCCCACGGTTTGACAGTGACAGGAGGCCTGAAGGATTTCTGGACAAGAAACAGCTGACTTTGCCACGGAGGCTATCCAGCCACCCGCCGGAGGCCCTGGGGGTTGACCAGGTCCGGAAGCAGGGAGGACCCACTTGGGGGAGCCCAGTGGCCCCCACCCTAGTGCTGGGTAGGGGCGCCGTCGGCCTGGGCACTCTTTGACGACTGCCAATTCCTGTGTCCCCTTCCAGGCCCTGTGCACACTGGGAGTGTGCTGAGAGGCGTCCCAAGGCCTTAGCCTCTTGGCAGTTCCCATCCCCATGCTGAAGTAGGGAGCACCGCAAGGCACGGAGGGCCTCCTGCAGAGGGACCCTGCTTCCCACCACAGCTCCTGTGAGCATATTTAGCAAGTGCAGGACCTGGATGGGGACCCAGTCCATTCTAGGCATCTGCGAGGTCTGCGGGGACTTCCCCTCTGAGGGTGACTCTGGCTTCAGGGGCCGAGGTGGGGGGAGACTGGCTCCCAGGCAGAGGGCAAAGGTGGGGGCAGCCTCAGGGCAGGGAGAGCAATGACCAGGACCTCCAGGCCCTTGCTGCAGGCTCCTCTGTGGAGGCCAGCAGGAACCTGGGTCGCTGGGTGCTGTCCTGGCTCTCCTGACTTGCGGGGGGGGGGGGGGGGTAAGCCCACCAGGCGCTAGCAGGCTCTAGCAGTGAGTGGTCAGGCAAGCAGCCTCGGTGGGGGCCGCTGCGGGGTTGAGGGCTCAGGGGAAGGGGGGCCTGGTGTGCTTGGGCTCAGCGGGCGGCAGGAGAGGAAATGGCGGGCGGGATGGCTCCCTCCCGGGCGGCGCTCAGGTCTAGACAGCTTGGCAAGGCCGGCAGGGTGAGTCACTTGCGTCTGGAGCAGCAGTCGAGGGCGCCAGGACTGGAACATGAACGTGCCTGCTCGGAGGCCGGCCGGCGGAGGAGGGGACGCCTCCCCGTGGCAACCGCTGGTTTCTACCCAGCTAGTGTCCTGGCCAGAGGCCGCTGAGGCAGCTTCCAGCGGGAGGCGGGGGCCAAAGGGACTTTCAGATGGGAGACAGAGGGCGACCGGGACCCCCGCTGCCTCCCACCCCACTGTGGCCTGCTCCCGCCTTCCGGCCACTCCCAGGTCCCGCAGGCAGCTTCCATCCCTCCAGCTCACCTTCCACAAGGGTCCCTGGTCCCTGACCGCTGCCCCTTGCCCCCCACCACCCCACCCCAGCTGCCGCAGCTGCGAGAGGAAGTAGGACTGATGGGGGCTGTGAATCGGGCGGTGTGTGTAGCGCTCACACACGCATCTACAAGAAAAGTCGGTTAATTGGGACCAGATCCTCTGAGGTTTCAAGGGCACTAAAACAAGATGGGTTTTCTCTGGGGAAGAATCTGCTGGCAACAGGAAGAGGGCATGGAGAGTTGGGCTTCTCTCAAGCTTTACGAGGGAAGAGCTCCCTCCACCCCTGTCTTTCTTTACATGCCAGAGATGGGTGGATGTGCCCTCCGCTCTCCCCACGGGGTGGTGGGCAGCGTGGAAGCCTCCAGAAAGGGCTGACCCCTGCGGCTGGCTCCAGGCGCTTGTCAGATGGAGGCCAGGCCGGACTAGCAGCCCGAACCTTGGCGCTGCCCGCTGCCCGAGCTTCAGATTCCCCAGGCCGGTGCCCCTCAGAGGTCTGACTCCCTGGCTGGACTCCGCC